ACCGTGCATACGTCACGTCACCCAGGCTGGAGAACTGGAAGGCGGAGGAGTGGGGAGACCGCGTGACCGTGGTGTCGTGCGACATGCGCGAGTGGCTGGCGCCCGAGAAGGCCGACATCATTGTGAGCGAGCTGCTGGGCTCCTTCGGCGACAACGAACTCCCCCGAGTGCCTGGATGGGGCGCAGCGCTTCCTCTCGGGTAGAGAGTCCTGGCGTACACGTACACACGAGCACGTACACGCACGCACGTACACACACACACTTGCACGTACACGCACGCACGTATACACACACACTAGCACGTACACACGTACACACACGCACGTACACACGTACGTACACACACACGTACACAACACACATACACGCACGTACGTACACACGCACGTACACGCACGCACGTACACACAACACACAACCGCCATTCACCACTAAGTAGCGGTGACATCACCACGACGCTTGTGCACCTTGAGGCCACGTGAAGTGTCGAACGCCCGCTGGCAGGAGGTCACGGGGCAGACCCAGCAGGTGCCACGGGTCGACTGACCGAGATGACCGAGATGACTGGCTGATGCACCACCTGTGCCCCCTACTGTACCAACTTGCTGTGCTTTAGACACCCGGCGCTCCGCTCGTTGTTGTGAGCGTCGCTCCTCCGCCCTCCATTGTTGTTGGAGGGCGACTACCTCCAACACGCACGTACACACGCACATACACGCAAGCACGTACACACACGCACATACACGCACATACACGCACGCACGTACACACGCACATACACGCACGTACACGCAAGCACGTACACACACACACGGGTGTCACTTCACGCGCCGCCACCCGGCCCATGACCGCATGACCTTGCCTGAAGAGCGCGTTCCAGACGGCCGCAGAAGCGCAGAGGAAAGCGCCGCGCGATGAGGCGATGGCTGAGCCAAAAGCTGCTGCTGCTGCTGCTGCTGCGAGGATGAGCACCGGAGTCTGCGTGATGACGGTTTACGTTTCTTGCTGACAAAATGAGCGATGGCACAATGGGGATATAACAATAAAAATATAACAATAGAAATATAACAATAAAAATATAACAAAAGTATAACACGCCGCTGCTGTGTCCCCTCAGAGGACGGCATCAGCATCCCGCGTGAGTACACCTCCTACATCTCTCCCATCTCCTCGTCCAAGCTCTACAACGAGGTGCGCGCCTGCCGCGAAAAGGACAAAGATCCAGAGGTGAGGCCGCTATCCCACTCGCATTCACTCATTCACTCGCTCATTCACTCAATTATCCACTCATTCACTCACTCATTCAAACACGCTTATGTGTGTGTGCGGTGACACTTGTGTGTGTGTGCGCCGTGACACTAGTGTGTGCCGTGACGCTTGTGTGTGTGTGCGCCGTGTTTGCCCAGGCCCACTTGGAGATGCCCTACGTGGTGCGCCTTCACAACTACCACGAGCTGGCCAGCCACAGCCCTGCTTCACGTTCGTGCATCCCAACTCAGGTGAGCTGCCGGACGTCGCCTGTTGGAAAAAGAGCTTCACGGCTCGTCGGGTTCCCCGGTACCAACGAACATTCGCCCAAAAGGTCTGTTGAGGCTTCACGGGGGTCCTGTGACTTTGTGTTGTGAACAGAGCCCGGGAAGGACAACAGCCGCTACAAAAGCCCTGGAGTTCCCCATCAGCACAGACACGGTGCTGCACGGCTTCGCGGGATACTTTGAGACGGTGCTGTACAAGGACGTGACGCTAAGTACGTGTGCTGGCGACATCGCACACACGTGCGGTAGCGCTGCGCGAGCCGTTCCCACCCATCCCGGGACACGCACCACAGTGTCGAGATGTTAACTCCCTCGTCGATCCCGAAACCTGACCCTTGCTGTATTACACACTTTCTGATTCTGTACATTATAAACGTGCGTTTAGAGTGTTTGACTGCTGCTATACATTTCCACGTCATAAGCCACCTCGATCGCGACCCTGACGCTTGCTGCTGTATATTGCAGTCTGCGTCTCTCTCACTCATTATCACGGTGGCTGGGAGATGTTAACTACCTCGCCTGGTGTACAGGAGGTCGTGGGTTCGATCCCGACCCTGACGCCTGATGCTGTATATTTGGAGTTTGAGTGTCTCTCTCCCCGTGGTTGCGTGGATTTTCTTTGAGTGCTACGGTTTTCCTTCCACATTTAGAATCAACAACACGCGTTCAGGGTATTCTGCTGCCATCACTTCCACACGATGATCAGCCGCCACTTCATCGAGCTATCGCTTGTAATAGCCGGGTCGCTTTACTGAAAAAGAGCTACATAGCTCGGTGGGCCTCACGCCCGGGAAAATAACAAAAAACATGTTTAGCTTTAGCTTATCGCCCTGGCCACGATACATCGTGCGTGCGTCGTTGGTGGGTGTCGCTGCCCAGCCGTGGTGGCGCTGTTGGCCGACTGTTGCAGAGGTTCCGCTGTTCGAATCCAGCCAGCGGCCGCACCACCCGGGTTGAGGGGGGGGGGGAGGTTTGTTTCGATACAAACTCGATAGTGGTACTTTGGTGTCTATCAAGTTCTGACCGATGGAGCCCCTTCTCGCCCCCGCTGCCTGGCGACTTTTGGCAACTCGATTGAACGCGGGGCGTACGACAGACGTGACGCTCGATGAACCGACTGTGCGCTCATATCAGGGTGCGCTTATGTCCAAAACAGGAGGTGACGGTGTAACAGACGGTGGGGGCGGCGTTTTGTTTTGCAGGCATTCATTCCCGAGACCCACTCTCCCTGCATGTTCTCCTGGTTTCCCATTCTCTTCCCCATCAAGGTAAGCCAAGTATGAACCCCCGCGGCAATTACAACGCGAGCCTCTCAAATGTTTACGCCCAGCAAGGCCCTACGAGCCCCACGCCATGCTGCTTCGCCCAGGGAGAGCCTCCCCCACCGAGTCTCAGGAGGCTCCTGGTCGGCTCTTGCCACGGCAGCTGTGTGTGTGTGGTGCTGTGTGTGTGTGTGTGGTGCTGTGTCTGTGTAGTGCTGCTGTGTGTGGTGCTGTGTGTGTGTGTAGCTGTGTGTGTGTGTCTGTGTGTGGGGAGCGGTGGTGTAGCGGTTCGCGCACTGCGCTACGAACCTGGCGACCCGAGTTCGATTGCCACTCGCGGCCAACATCAGTGACGATTATTTGAACCGGTCCTGGGCCTCCCCTAAATCGACTCGGCCTCAAATGAGTACCTGGTGCGGTGTGTAGTAAACATCGCCACTGGGGAGACAAAGGCGGCCGGGTGTGGTGCTGGCCACCCACCCCCTCGTGTGCCGTGCCGGCCTTCATAGACGCTCGCTTAACCGCAGTAATTTAAGGCCTTGAGAACAACAGCGACCGCACCCAACGTGCTCGCTGTACACCGTGACCCCTGACCCGCCCGTTGTATTCCGTCAACGCGCCGTCTCGCCCCCCCCCTCCCCAACCCCCCCCCAGCACCCCATGCCCGTGCGGAGCGGCGACACGGTGTGCCTCCGCTTCTGGCGCTGCTGCAACCAGCAGAAGGTGTGGTACGAGTGGGCCATCACGTCCCCGATGACGTCCGTCTTGCACAACCCCGCGGGACGCTCCTCCACCATCGGCCTGTGAACCACGCGGAGAGAGAGAGGAGAGAGGAGAGAGAGAGGGGGGAGAGAGGGGAGAGAGAGGGGGAGAGAGAAGGGAGAGGCATTTGCGCACGCGGCGTCCCATTTCCGCCTCCGTCGTCGTCGTTGCGCTCGTTACCCAGGAAAGCCTCGCCGAGTCTCGCGTGCGGACTCTTGGTCTTTCTTTTTCAGGAGGGTTTCTGCCAAGTTTTCGAAGTAGCAAGGTGGGGGGGGGGAGCACGACCGGCTTTGCCACGCGTTGTTCACGTTGAGTCCATTGCGGTGGGGGTTTGGGGGGGGTTGGGGAGTTTCAGTTGTAGCAAAGTCGGACCGCGACGCCGGCGCCACAGTTGCCTGCTCTTGCGAATGGCCGTCACGGCATCTTTATGACGTCCGCCGTGAGAAGCGCACAGGCGCGTGGCTGGTATTTCTCGGGACTGATGCGCACCGCAGTATTAACCGGGGCGGCCGCTCGAACCGCGAACCTCCGTGCGACGAAGAGCAGCGGAACACCGCTACCCCGCCGCCGCTGGGTCGCGTCACCGCTTCACCGCGTCACCGCCACCCCCCCCCCCCACCACCCCCACTGTTGGTAAATTAATTAGCGACGGAAGTATTCGACGCTAAAGCGTGAAGCGTTTATTTTTTCGCTCCTTTTTTTTAGTCCAGCGATGATCGCGTGTGGGGCCGAGAGCCACCTCTCACGTGTGACGATGACGACCACCGCCGACCAATGACATAAGCGTGTCCCGCCCTAACGAGGCGAGATATGGCGAGTCCAAGTGAAGACGCATTCCAGATAATTATAATAAAGAGATGAGGTGGTAATGTTATTCGAGATGGTGCGCTGAGGAAGACACAACATTTATAATGGTCATGTGTACGAAAAGATTTGCTGCAATCACCGATTGGCTGCCAATTAATGTGGGAGGAGGAATTTCATGAATCACTCCAACATCCGTTAACTAAGAGTGTCTACATATTTCACCACTTTAGTTGCTCAGACTAAGGTCCGTATTCATAGTCACAGCCTGGCTCAGGCCTGGCTCCTTTGGCTGCTATAAATTTTCACGTGATGATGATAAGCCACTTCGTAGAGCTGTCATTTGTGGTGGCCAGGTTGCTTTTGAAAAAAATAGCCACATAGATCAGTGGGGCCTTACCTGGTAAAGTAGAAAAGTTTTGAAAACTTTGGCCGCCTCCGAATACGGTCCATGCCCAGTTTAAGATTTATTTGAGCCCAGCCACGGCTTAGCGTGTGCGTGTCTGTGTGCGTGTGTGCGTGTCTGTGTGCGTGTCCGTGTGCGCTCACTACTTCAAGTTCGCGTGCTTCTTGGACGACGGCGTTGATGCGGTAGGCGCGTGACGAATTTGCCGATTCTGTCAACGACGGTGGATCGTTTATATCGTGGCATCGCGCCGCGATGGCAGTGGACTCGGAATTTGGAGAACAGAAACGTTTCAAAATAATGATTCTTACTGTCAATCGCAAGCCTGAATCATCACGATTTGTCAACGAGGGCTCCCCCTCCCCACCCCCGCGCTCCTCACGTCACTCATTTTACCGTACTTCACCACGCCAGTCAACGCAGCTCGGCGAAGCGGCAGCCAGTGCAGGTCCGGTTCTGATTCCACTCCGCCACCGACGCCGACCCGCGTCGCCGCGAACGTCGCCTTGCGCGGTGCTTGCCAAGCATTTTGGACCACTCCTCTCCCACGTCCCCGTGGCTCCGGTGGTCTCCACCTCGTTTGCCAGCTCACGAAGCGGCGCGCTAAGCTCGTTCACACCGACATCGGGGGGAACGGCGCCGTCGTTTTGAACAAACGTGTTGTTTGCATTGTTCACGTTCCAAGACTGTGTCCTATGCATGGTCCCTCACCCCCGTCCGCCTCACCCCACACGAACGCCATGGCTCGCTGATGGTGACTGCCCACCCACCCCCTGTGATGTTTTGTATCGAATTGGAAGCTTGCGTTGGGGAAAAATAAAAACAAAAGTTACTTCTTAATCCGAACTGCGGTGAAAACATTGCGAGGTTTGTAAACGCATCCACTTGTTGCGGTGATCATTTACTGTTAAACGAGAGCACTCGTTAAATACGTAGGCTTTCGCGACCAATATCCATAATACAGGTTTTTTTTGGTTTAGATCGCGTTAATGTATTGTCGTTAAACCCGCAACCACCCGACAGCCAAATTAGTAAGGTTTGTTACGTAAACAAATCTGATGAAGCTAGTTGTAATTACTGGCGAAACATCATACTCAGATTGTAAATGTTGTGGCTTGGCTCTCCAACACACTGGTGTGCTGTACTAGTGACGAATTGGCATGTTCTGTTTGTGACAAACCTTACTAATCGGACTGTGGATTTAAAAGTATACAATAGGCCACGTGTAGTAAAATGTATAATGCTAATTAGTAAATGGGCCAGATGGCTCAGCCCATGGGCCTTCTCTGGTAGATAAAATAAGTACCGGCTTTGTGGCGACGTCCTATGGATATGCCTGAATGTGAAATCGCCACCGCAGGCTCAGGGTTGTGTAAACGAGAGATGGGGACTGCCGACACAACATTCAGAGAAATGTAAAATCAGAGCAACTGAAAACACGACTGCCATCGTGTCTCCACACAACAACAACAAAGAGTACTCACGGAAGATTGTTAAGGGCAGTATTCTATAATCTTGCATCCAACTATGACCAATATAAACGATAAACTTATTGTACCACGTTTTAGGCCCCACTGAGCTATGTACAGAAGCGGCCTGGTCATCACAAATAATTAAAGCTCAACAAATTGGTGGCTTATCATCATCACGTGGACATTTATAGTAGCAGCCAAATGCTCTAAATGCGTGATGTTGATTCTAAATGTGGAGGGGAAAACGCGGAGGGAACCCGGAGAAAACTCCATGTGACCACGGGGAGAGTGAGACACCGCAAACTCCAAATATACGGCAGGCTCTGGGTCAGGATTTAACCCACGACCTCCTGTATACCAGGCGAGGTAGTTAACATCTCCCAGCCGCGTGATGATGAGAGATGCGCAGACTGCAATATACAGCAGCAAGCGTCAGGATCGAGGTGGCTTATCACGTGCAAATGTATAACAGCAGTCAAACACTCTAAACACACGTTTATAATGTACAGAATCAGAATGTGCGTAATGACATGACGACACCTGCTGGCTGGGCAAGGGAAGCACGGGTACGGTTAGATAACATGCAGTCGGAGAAAGAGGTATCTGGGGCAAAGGTAATAGGTGTGGTTGACCGAGATGCTCCGGGAAACTGCTCGAAGGTTCCACAAGAGGGCGTAGCTGGAGGCGGAGTTTAGCCACGTGGCCTAGCCACACCTGGGGAGATATCAGGGCGGGCGAACCGGGACTCGGAGTTCGTGTGTGGAGTCTTGGGTCGGCCTCTGTGGAGGAGGAGGCTCGTGAAGGACGCTGCTACTGCTGGGCAGTTGGAGGCAGTCGCCCTCCTGCAACAACGGAGGGCGGAGGAGCGACGCTCACAACAAACGAGCGGAGCGCCGGACGGATAAAATGCAGCAAGTTGGCGCAGTAGGGGGCACAACAGCTGGTGGTGCATCTGCCGGTCATCTCATCGGCCAACCCATGTCTGCCTGCAGCGTGCACCTAGCCCTGGCACAGGCGCCGTGGTGACGCCACCGCCATCTGGTGGCGAGCGGCAGGCGGCATTGTGAGGCGCCTTGCCTGCTCGTCCATTCGTGAGAACCTCCACCACGGTCTTGACTTCATGGTCGCTTTCAAACTCGACACTGTCGTTAATAAGAGTGCGGCTTTAACAGGAAACGACACATTATAGGCGACGTTTCGGGTACACGGGCAAGGGCATGGAGACGGCTTCCCATTGGCCGGAGAGCTGGTCACGTGGGTAGCAGGCGCCGGTGTGCGTGCGGTAATTTATTCATAAGAATCGATTCTAAATTTTCCATTGTTTAGATCGATTCCAAAGCGCTTTCACAGACCGTTCGATTCCCCAGTGTCAACGCAGCGCGTTCGCGATTCACGCGAATCGATCCACGGGATTACCCCCCCCCCTCCCCCCCTCATCCGTGTGCAAAAAAATTGGCGCCAAAGTTGGAGGGAGGTGAGGAGGGGTCAGAGTGGCGGCCTCCACGAGGCGCGGAGCGACTCAACGCCGCCTCGGACGGCGGTGCTGACGACGGCTGCCCTGGTGCTGACGACGGCTGCCGTGGTGCTGACGACGGCTGCCGTGGTGCTGACGACGGCTGCCGTGGTAGGCGACGATCTCTGCTGCTGCTGTAGGAGCCGCCGGCTCAGATTTGTTTCGCTCTGGCAGGGTTGGGAGCGGTGGCGCCGGCTCGCTGCTGAGGGAGGGTCCTCATCCAGCAGTGAATCGATAATGGCCGATGATGCTTCTTCGTTCGTGCAGAGCAACAACCACAATGTGGCATTCTATTTACAAACTAAAGTATATTTTTATTTGACCAGGTAAGGCCTCCGTGAGACGGAGGTTAAGGCCCGCCTTGCCTGAGTAGCTCTTGTTCAGCAGCGACCTGGCGTTCACAAACTATAACATAACAAGATGGGCTTATCGTCGTCATATAAACATTTATAGCAGCGACCAAATACTCCAAACTCGTGGTGATGTTGACTTTAAATGTGGAGGGGAAACCCGGAGGGACGTGTAGATAAATCCACGCGACCACGGAGAGAGAGGAAACACGCGAACTACAAATATACAGCAGCAGGCATCAGGGTCGGGATCTAACCCACGACCTCTGTAGACCAGGCGAGGTAGTTAACATCTCCTAGCCACCGTGATGATGATGAGAGAGAGACACGAAAACTACAAATATACAGCAGCAGGTAACAGGGTCGGGATCTAACCCACGACCTCCTGCACACCAGGCGAGGTAGTAACATCTCCTAGCCACCGTGATGATGATGATGAGAGAGAGACACGAAAACTACAAATATACAGCAGCAGCAGGCGTCAGGGTCGGGATCTAACTCGCGACCTCCTGTACACCAGGCGAGGTAGTCAACATCTCGACACATTGAGGTGGTCAAGCCAGACATTTGCGTCAGGAGCAGCGGAGTGTATCATCAGCATCATCATCGTCGCTCTGATGTCTGCTTCGTATTTGTGGCTCGGGGCATTGCGTCGCTGGACGTTGCACGGCCTCTGCTCTGGATGACCACAGTCGCACCGCTGCTACTGGAGGGGTTAGAACTTTAAATCTGAGCCCCAGGGTATCCGACTCTACTGCTGCGATGGCGGATGCGGTTCAGGGGTGCATCGTGAGCTTAGTGGAAGATAAAAAAAACCAGGGATTTTCTGCGTTGGGTTTATCACACCAGGGCGGTGTTTGCGAGTTCTTGTGAACTCCATTCAGCTCTCCAAACTGCACCGGGGGTTGAACTCCCACGGTTGAAGTTGTGAAGCGCATGGGCCCCCTCCATGGCTTGGCGTGTGGGCCCCCTCCATGGCTTGGCGTGTGGGCCCTCTCCATGGCTTGGCGTGTGGGCCCTCTCCATGGCTTGGAGTGGAGGTCCTCTCCATGGCTTGGTGTGTGGGTTCTCCATGGCTTGGCGTGTGGGCCCTCTCCATGGCTTGGCGTGTGGGCCCTCTCCATGGCTTGGCGTGTGGGCCCTCCATGTCTTTGCGTGTGGGCCCTCTCCATGGCTTGGTGTGTGGGTCCTCCATGGCTTGGTGTGTGGGTCCTCCATGGCTTGGTGTGTGGGCCCCCTCCATGGCTTGGTGTGTGGGTCCTCTCCATGGCTTGGCGTGTGGGCCCTCTCCATGACTTGGCGTGTGGGCCCTCTCCATGGCTTGGAGTGGAGGTCCTCTCCATGGCTTGGCGTGTGGGCCCTCCATGGCTTTGCGTGGTTTCCAGCGATGGCGAGAGACGTTCTTGAGGTACTGGTGAATGGGAAGGCGACTGCGTTCCTTTAACTGCTGCTTAATACTGTATCGTGAGAATAGCTTAATAACACTCTTATATTGGTCATGACGTGTCCATTTATCTATTTATATACTTTTGATTTAAAGCTTTCGTGACTGCAGGGATTCATATTATTGGTTCTTTCGGTAAAGTCACGTAGAAGGGAAATAATACAAATATAAAACAAGAAAATGCTTTGGATTTCACACCTGATGATGATTGCTTGTGTTGCACTCGAAACGTCGTAAATTGTATTGTTTTATATTTTTATTATTACCCTTCTACGTGACTTTACTAAAAGAACCAAGAATATTTATATTCTGTGTATACATTTGTTTCTGTTGTAAGCCATTGTGGTTACCGCAGAAAATGCGACCACGATGGGGGGTGGGTAGGCGGCCTAACTCTGCATTATTTTGCAGGAACCATCATCAGCAGTTCCCAAAGAACTGCACCGTTGCCCCTCGTGTTTTCTTAGGTCACGGTCAATATCAATTGAGCAAAAGTGACTGACAGTGATAGTGGGCAGGTTCTGTTGTCATTAGGATGCATCAGCACGGTTTTGTTTAAATTTAGCATCATACCTAAGCCAACCGTGCTAATTGGTAGTGCGGGGCAACTAACTAACACAAAAAAACTCTTCTAAAGAATTGAGTTTTCAATCCAGATTTAAAGGTGCATAGCTCCGGTGGCTTCCTAATATCGGAAGAGCGTTCCAGGTGGCCGCAGAAGCGCATCTGAAAGCGCACGAGGATGAACGGAGTTCACGTGATGGTGGTTTATGCTCTTTGATGAGATCAGCGAGGTACTGTGTTGTGGTTCGTTTTGTGGCAGGGGCTTTGTCTGCGACCTTCTTTACAAACTGCTGATGTTTTTTGCGCTATGCACAAAGGCCGAGTGCTTTTTGTACAGGTCTCTGAGTGTGGCTTTGAAATGTACGGTTGTCTGGCCTGCATTATGATTCTGGTATGACGATAGATTGTTCTCTCCAGATTTGATCTTCACAGGAAATATTGGGAGGAGGCCCTATGACGTCATTGTGTGCAAGAATCACAATCCAAAGAATTGTTTTTAATTTGAAAAAATTGCACCACAAATTGCTCAAAGGGGAGTACACTACACATACCAATTATTACCGCTCCTACACTAGGGCTGAACAATTAATCGATTTCAAATCGAAATCGCTATTTGAAACAATGCGATTAGCAAATTGCAAAGGCCGCGATTTTTGGCAATTTAAAAAGTCTTATTACTTTCTTATTGGAATATTATTATAACTTTATTTAACTTAATTGTTCTATGTTTGTTCTATTTCAATTAAAACATTTTAATAAATACATGTTGGAAGCAATTAATATCTTTTAAGTTCTCATCCTTAGAATAGAAAGAGCAGTTCATATTGTGATGGTATCATGTGGGAATGCTCCATCACATGTTTTAAATCTATTACACAGTGAATATTGAACTGAAGCTTGACTTAAAAATTTATCGCAAATCAAATTGCAATATCTGTCAGAAAAATCGCAATTAGATATTTTCCCCAAATCGTTCAGCCCTACCCTACATCGTCCACTGCAAACACCTGGCAGGACTCTCCTGACATGTAGCCGGTAGACTCAGTGAGGCTTTAAAAAAAAAATGTGACTTTCATTGTAATTTGTGTTTTTCATCATCAGCTCTGCCAATGCCGCTGAGTTACAATGGGAAGCAAACTCAGCCCCGAGTACCAACCTTCAAACTGACCTGAACCCTGCCAATAGCCCCACCACCGCCCACACTAAGCCATGCCTCACCTCCGATTAGCACGATCATACCCCCTATTAGCACGCTTGGCTATCGTACGCCGCGAAATAAGTTCAGCATACACGTCCACTCTTCACCATTTCTCTGCGTTTCAGTGTTGGTGCCCGGAGCACTGGTACCCAGTGGGGTAGCTGCGCACAGTGTTTCCCGGCGAGTGAGCGGGGACGCTGATCGGACCCCGAGCGAGAGGCGGGCAGCGTCGGTGTCGGCATGAATGAGTCCTGCGTGAGGGGGGCCACCCCTGCCCGGCCTGGCACGAGCGTGCCCCCCGGGCACGTGCTCATCAGCGAGAAGTGGAGGGGAACGCAGGTGGCACAGGCGCTATCCGGTGCGTGGTCATGATGAGCGTTGCGATATGAACCATTTCCGATGACGTATGTGTACACGTATATCATCTTTTGATTCCATTCCGATGATATATGCGTACGTCATCGGAATGGAATCGGAAGAAAAAAATTTAAACTTTATTGGTACGAGGCATCCACAAGACCATGCGGGAGGATGTGTGGCACAGTTTGGATCCAGCTATCACAGCACGGTCGTGTCGCTACGGTTTTCTGCAATGAGCAGTGTCTTTAAAAAGGGCGCTGCGTGTTTCTAAATAAAATTAACGTTAACCGCTTGCACCTTCCGAGATTAAGCGGTGAACGGGATACCCACCCTGCAACTTGCAGACGTCTTGGAATGGGTTAAAATGCCGACCCATAAATTAAAATAAATAGTACATTATTTTTAAACTGTTTTCCCCAATTATATCCCGATTGTGCTGTTTATGTCGCATCATTAGACGAATAATCTATTTTAAACTTAAAGAGCAGTTCAAACCTTTGTGTGAGAGGACAGCCCGTGGAAGCGGATGTCAAAGAGCTACCTCTGAGATCACTTCTTCAAGTAGCCAGTTTCTACAAAGTATGGAGGGCAACACTTTCCCACCCACTCCGCCACTGAGAGTGATGATCGTCGGATGACATTCAAACTGATGTTGTTCACTCTTGGCTGTATATCACCCTCTGTGCAGAACCAAATTTCATGTCGCTTTATTTGTGCAGCCACTGTTGGTGAACTGGGCCGAGACCATCACCTCGTTATACCCGAGGGCCCTGTGCTCCAGGCTTGACGGCATCTTAACGTTCACATCCTGACCGTTTGGCGTTTGCGTACAAACACCTGGGTTGTGCTTTGTGTCTGCGTGCAGGAAAGGTGCGACTTGTGTTCGAGGAGGCGATGGGCCTCACGGACTTCCAGCTCTCGGACCGCACCTGCCTCCTGTTCATCACAGAGAGCGACCAGGTCACCGGCTCCGACTACAAGCGCAGGCTCGTGCGCTTCCGAAAGGTGAGATCGTGCCGGCATTCGGCCGACAGCATAAACCTTCCTGCCTTGAGAATCATATTTATTTAGACTGCAGGGGGAATGCGATGAGCTATAAAGCTCTTTTGTCACAGATGTCCAGTAGGGGCACGGGGTCTGAACGTTACAACAGTACAAAAACACGACACCAGCGCAAAGTACCTGGTGCAATGTGTCAACATCGTCGCGAGGGAGGCATGACAGCCGGGCGTTGTGCTGTCCATCCACCCCTCGTGTGCCACAGTGCCAGCCTTCATGGGTGCTGCTGCTCGCTACTAACAGCAGCTTGCCCCAGCAGTCCGCTTAAGGCTACACGGGTGGGGGGGGATCTTTGTCTTTCACGTGAGACAGAAGAGCGCCGCTAACTCCCTGGTGCTGGTGGAGCTGACGCCGCTGAGCGAGCAGTACTTTGCCGACGTGCAGGCCTTCGTGGTGCTCGACCTGGGCATGGCCATCGTCCCGGTGAGCGGCCAGGCCGAAGCAGCGCTCGTCGTCGCCCACCTGGTGAGCAGGAGCCGTGCGCATCGCGCTGGGCCGGCCGCGCGTCCAGAGACTCTAGTCACCGTGGGGGCGGTGGGGTAACTTATCTTAAGGTCGAGTTGAATCTCACTTTTAACTCATAGTTGGCTTTCGAGACCAATATTATCCAGAGTTTTTTTGGGTTAGATTGAACCATACCTCTGGCCTTCGTACCTGATTAGCTCACAAGTGACGACATCACATTTATCCCTCTATTTAAGAACGAAGCAGGAGGATTTCTCCACACATCTGGCTGCCGTCTGATGATACTGGTAGTAATTACTGGCGAAACGTCGTACTCAAATTGTAAATCTTGTGGGTTTAACCCTCCAACACACCGGTGTGCTGTACTAGTAACGAATTGGCATGTTTTGTTTACGTGATACACCTTGCTAACGTGACAAACCTTGCTAATTGCCTGTGTTGGGTGGTGGCGGGTTTAATGACATTCATATTTACGCTAGCCCGGCTGAATATCCTGAGACTGAGGTCATGGGTAGGGGGGTGGGACGGCGGTTGCAGCAACATAACTCAAGGTCAAGTTGATTGTGTGTCACTGTGGTGAGAACTGGAGTTGTGTAGGCACCTCATTTTTGCAACACGAACATTCATAGGCAAGGACATTCTTAACCCTGGCGCACGGGGCCTTGATGGCAAGGAGCCCTACCTCTCTCCTCACGTCCGGGGCTATCGAATAAATATCAAGTGCGGCTGTGTTAAAGAAAAGCTGACGTTCTCCCTACGGCCATGGGTATGCTCGCCGTTTGGTCCTCAGGTGGCCGAGGAAGGCAAGAGTCCCGGGACTAACCCCTTCTCCCCCTCGCGGGGCGCGCCGGGCTCTGGCGACGCCGCCGTTCTCGACTGCGTCACGCACATCCCGGGCATCGGGCGCGTGAAGGCTCTGGCGCTACTGGAGCGCTTCCCAAGCCTGCACGCGCTGTCCACCGCCTCCGATGAGCAGCTCGCCGTCGCGGTCGGCCGAGGGGCTGCCGCCAGCGTCCGGGCGTTCTTCACGCAGCGCACGGGGCCCTGATGGCAGGGAGGGCCTCTCACGGTACTACAAGTATTTGCCACGTCGAGCAGTGATCAAAACTCCCCTCGCCCCTCCATCGCTTCCTGTCCCTCCCCTAACCTTTCATGATCGCTAAAAACCACTCTATCACTGTCACTCAATCCTTGTAGCACGTAACTGCTAATTCCCGCTGGTTATTTGCCACTTCGAGCAGTGACCAAACCTCCCCTTCCTGTCCCTCCCCTAACCTTTCTCATGAAAGGTTAGGGGAGGGGCACACTATCACTCAATCCTTGTAGCACGTCACTGCTAACTAAATCATTGCATATTGTTTTGTAAGCTATGTCAAATGCCTTGAGTGAAGGTGCGTTCGATACATGTAATTACATTTTGGTCCGACACTCTTTTGTTGATGGGGTTGTCAATTTACAGCTTCAAATGTAACTAAGTGCCCAAAAATGAAAGGACCGTGTATAAAGTTTTTTTATTTACCTCTCGTGCATTAAATCGAATCATCAATTATTTTTGATTCACGTAATGGGTCTAGGTGTCTCCACTACAGTTACAGAAAAATACATACACATTCAAAATAATATTAAAGTGTATAGAATAATTACAGCACATAGATGAAATGGACTATTATAGTTGTGTTATATACTTAAGTAATATGACAGTAGAATTCTAACAGCATGGAGCCACAGAGAACACAATTCACAAAACGATAATTTTATTTTTCAGGTTTGAGAGTATTTACAAACATGAGGTGGTTTGACGCTGGCTCTCTTCTCTCCGTGTGTCCCTCAGTCTGGACACTGGGGGGGTGAGAAGACACAAGAGACCCCTCAACCCTTCACATGTTCACCTGAAGATTCTCAGATGAAAATCTTCCCCTCGTGGCAGCGCCTATTCTTGTGCAGTGAAGGTACCCCAGCAGAAGCCACAGAAGTTGGAAAAGTCCACAGTCAAGTGGCCTCCCACTTGGAAGCTCCCTTGGCCACGCCGGCAGAGCAGAGGTCGCAACCGGGTACCCGATACCCGTACCCTACCAGATACCCGGCTACCCGTTTCCAGCCGGTAGAGGTCGCAAACGGGTTTTGATTCCTTACCCGCATCCGTACCTGGCCGCGCCAAGGTTGCAAATGGCTACCCGTACTTGGCCGGGTACAGGTAGCCGGGTATCGGGTACCCGGTTGCGACCTCTGCCGGCCGGGTACGGGTAGGCCGTGAGTCACTGGTGAGTAACCGTTTGTCACTCATTTCGGGTAGGGTACGGGTAGGGAAACGGGTACCCTTACCCGAGTGGGTACGGGTCCGGGTACCCATTTGCGACCCTGGTGCGGCCGGGTAAGGAATCAAACCCCGTTTGCGACCTCTGTGGCGGAGCAAGCCCTCTGCACCCCGCCTCTTCCTTCACCACTCCTGCCCCGCGCAGCCTGGGCACGCTTCGCGTGGGACGAGCCAAGGGGCAGCCCTTAATGCCAAACAGCAGCTCTGGCTCTCTTCCGCGCTCGGGTCGTCGAGGCGGCTACCGTCGTCGCCGAGAGCCGCGGCCTCCCAGAATGCGGCCGGGTGCGCCAGCGGGGAGAAGCGAGGTGGGGGCCGCCCAGGCACCAGCAGCAGCAGCTGCTCAGATTCAAGCGGGGGCTGCTCAGCCGTCAGGAGGAGGCCGGTGTCGTGGAGGAGGTGGTGCTTCGGGTGACGGGGACTCGGATCCTTGAGCGCGCAGGGCCTTAGGCAAGCGAGACCTGGGGCACAGTGAGGGGGGTGGCATCAGCACTGCGTGTGCCTGGGCACTTCGCTGAATCGTCATCCAATGCAAGTACTCTCGTCAAGTCGCCATCGTCGTCAACTTCCTACGGTCGCTATGGCCATGCATGGAGAGATCGCACAGAGGAGCATGACGCACCTGGAAACATGGTGCTACCCAGGGACATCGCCGTGACCTTAAGAAAAGTGGACTTGGACAGGACACGTTTCAAGACAGGCGCGTTATCAGTATTTATCATATCAGTAGATCTATGATGTTGCGAAGAGGTATTTTGGTCATTGTCATGAAGCTGCCTCACCACTATGAACTGTGCCCACTCATCCCTTTATAATCCCCACTCACCACTACCTACTCACCCCACTTACCACTACCTAATCACCCCACTCACCACTACCTACTCTCACCACTCATCACTTGATAATCCCCACTCACCACTACCTACTCTCAACACTCACCACTACCTACTCTCACTCACCACTACCTACTCTCAACACTCACCACTACCTACTCTCAACACTCATCCCTTGATAATCCCCACTCACCACTACCTACTCACCACTACCTACTCTCACTCACCACTACCTACTCACCCCACTCACCACTACCTACTCACCCCACTCACCACTACCTACTCACCCCACTCACCACTACCTACTCACCCCACTCACCACTCATCCATTGATAATCCCCACTCACCACTACCTACTCTCAAAACTCACCACTACCTACTCACCCCACTCACCACTACCTACTCACCCCACTCACCACTACCTACTCACCCCACTCACCACTCATCCCTTGATAATCCCCACTCACCACTACCTACTCTCAAAACTCACCACTACCTACTCACCACTACCTACTCTCAACACTCATTCCTGGATAATCCCCACCCACCACTACCTACTCACCCAACTCACCACTACCTACTCACCCCACTCACCACTACCTACTCACCCCACTCACCACTACCTACTCACCCCACTCACCACTACCTACTCACCCCACTCACCACTACCTACTCACCCCACTCACCACTACCTACTCACCCAACTCACCACTACCTACTCTCACTCACCACTACCTACTCTCACTCACCACTACCTACTCTCACTCACCACTACCTACTCACTCACCCAACTCACCACTACCTACTCACCCAACTCACCACTACCTACTCACCGCTACCTACTCTCAACACTCATTCCTTGATAATCCCCACTCACCACTACATACTCACCCCACTCACCACTACCTACTCTCACTCACCACTACCTACTCACCCCACTCACCACTACCTACTCTCACTCATTCCTTGATAATCCCCACTACCTACTCTCACCACTACCTACTCACCCCACTCACCACTACCTACTCACCCCACTCACCACTACCTACTCACCCCACTCACCACTACCTACTCACCCCACTCACCAGTACCTACTCACCCCACTCACCACTCATCCCTTGATAATCCCCACTCACCACTACCTACTCTCAAAACTCACCACTACCTACTCTCAACACTCATTCCTGGATAATCCCCACCCACCACTACCTACTCACCCCACTCACCACTACCTACTCACCCCACTCACCACTACCTACTCACCCCACTCACCACTACCTACTCTCACTCACCACTACCTACTCACCCCACTACCTACTCACCCAACTCACCACTACCTACTCTCACTCACCACTACCTACTCTCACTCACCACTACCTACTCACCCCACTCACCACTACCTACTCTCAACACTCATTCCTGGATAATCCCCACCCACCACTACCTACTCACCCCACTCACCACTACCTACTCACCCCACTCACCACTACCTACTCCCACTCACCACTACCTACTCACCCCACTCACCACTACCTACTCACCCCACTCACCACTACCTACTCACCACTACCTACTCACTCACCACTACCTACTCACCCAACTCACCACTACCTACTCACCGCTACCTACTCTCAACACTCATTCCTTGATAATCCCCACTCACCACTACATACTCACCCCACTCACCACTACCTACTCTCACTCACCACTACCTACTCACCCCACTCACCGCTACCTACTCTCACTCATTCCTTGATAATCCCCACTACCTACTCTCACCACTACCTACTCACCCCACTCACCACTACCTACTCACCCCACTCACCACTACCTACTCACCCCACTCACCACTACCTACTCACCCCACTCACCAGTACCTACTCACCCCACTCACCACTCATCCCTTGATAATCCCCACTCACCACTACCTACTCTCAAAACTCACCACTACCTACTCTCAACACTCATTCCTGGATAATCCCCACCCACCACTACCTACTCACCCCACTCACCACTACCTACTCACCCCACTCACCACTACCTACTCACCCCACTCACCACTACCTACTCTCACTCACCACTACCTACTCACCCCACTACCTACTCACCCAACTCACCACTACCTACTCTCACTCACCACTACCTACTCTCACTCACCACTACCTACTCACCCCACTCACCACTACCTACTCTCACAACTCATTCCTTGATAATCCCCACTCACCACTACATACTCACCCCACTCACCACTACCTACTCACCCCACTCACCACTACCTACTCACCACTACCTACTCACCCCACTCACCACTACCTACTCTCACCACTCATCCCTTGATAATCCCCACTCACCACTACCTACTCACCCAACTCACCACTACCTACTCTCACCACTCATCCCTTGATAATCCCCACTCACCACTACCTACTCACCCCACTCACCACTACCTACTCTCAACACTCATTCCTGGATAATCCCCACCCACCACTACCTACTCACCCCACTCACCACTACCTACTCTCAACACTCATTCCTGGATAATCCCCACCCACCACTACCTACTCACCCCACTCACCACTACCTACTCTCACAACTCATTCCTTGATAATCCCCACTCACCACTACATACTCACCCCACTCACCACTACCTACTCACCCCACTCACCACTACCTACTCACCACTACCTACTCACCCCACTCACCACTACCTACTCTCACCACTCATCCCTTGATAATCCCCACTCACCACTACCTACTCACCCAACTCACCACTACCTACTCTCACCACTCATCCCTTGATAATCCCCACTCACCACTACCTACTCACCCCACTCACCACTACCTACTCTCAACACTCATTCCTGGATAATCCCCACCCACCACTACCTACTCACCCCACTCACCACTACCTACTCTCAACACTCATTCCTGGATAATCCCCACCCACCACTACCTACTCACCCCACTCACCACTACCTACTCACCCCACTCACCACTACCTACTCACCACTACCTACTCTCAACACTCATTCCTGGATAATCCCCACCCACCACTACCTACTCACCCCACTCACCACTACCTACTCACCACTACCTACTCTCAACACTCATTCCTGGATAATCCCCACCCACCACTACCTACTCACCACTACCTACTCTCAACACTCATTCCTGGATAATCCCCACCCACCACTACCTACTCACCCCACTCACCACTACCTACTCACCACTACCTACTCTCAACACTCATTCCTGGATAATCCCCACCCACCACTACCTACTCACCCCACTCACCGCTACCTACTCTCAACACTCATTCCTTGATAATCCCCACTACCTACTCTCACCACTACCTACTCACCCCACTCACCACTACCTACTCTCAACACTCACCACTACCTACTCACCCCACTCACCACTACCTACTCACCCCACTCACCACTACCTACTCACCCCACTCACCACTACCTACTCTCAACACTCACCACTACCTACTCTCACCACTCATCCCTTGATAATCCCCACTCACCACTACCTACTCACCACTACCTACTCTCAACACTCATTCCTGGATAATCCCCACCCACCACTACCTACTCACCCTACTCACCACTACCTACTCACCCCACTCACCACTACCTACTCTCAACACTCACCACTACCTACTCACCCCACTCACCACTACCTACTCTCAACACTCACCACTACCTACTCTCACCACTCATCCCTTGATAATCCCCACTCACCACTGCCTACTCACCCCACTCACCACTGCCTACTCACCCCACTCACCACTACCTACTCACCCCACTCACCACTACCTACTCACCACTACCTACTCACCCCACTCACCACTACCTACTCACCACTACCTACTCACCCCACTCACCACTACCTACTCACCCCACTCACCACTACCTACTCAC